TAATTAGAAATAATTGTTAATAATAATGCCTAATACAGTTATTAATATTAAATTTGTATCTGGCATTGCTAAAAAAATAATGCCTATTTCTGGCACTTGCGGTGTCTTGCTCTAAAATTATACAATAAAATACACATTAACCGTATAAATGCATTTTCTATAAATGCACTTTCTCTTTAAAAATGCACAATACTATTTGATCGGTCTAAAGCAATTTGTCATATACACTCAGCTCTCTCTAAGCGCAACACCTCTAGGTGCAACAACTCTCTAAATGCAACTTTAACTTCGGGCTCAAGTATATGTCTTGTATATGTTTTGTCTCTATAATTACAATTTCACTTAATTGTTCTCTAAGTGCATATTAATAAAAGCCTAGTCCTAATGAGTTGTACTTGTTCTTTAAAGACATGTTGCTAGAAGCCGGTCCCAATGAGTTGCACTTGTTTTCTAAGTGCATGTTGCTAAAACCTGGTTCTAATGAGTTGCACTTAGAGGGAGTTGACTATATATAGCGTGTATTTACGGATTATTAACTGTATATAAGTATGACTAGAAGCATAGCCATCTTTTGTTTTGAATTAATTATCCTGTACTTCTAGGTATGACAAAAATTAAAACTTCGCTGTAATTGATAAACAATTATAAAAAGACAATCATAACACTTATTATTCTTTTTTTCGTTTGAAATTTGAAGTCAAAATACTCTACAAAAATTCACATATACTTACTTGTCGATCGTTCTAACTCCAAACCTGGCTTTTGTATTTAACAAGTAGACAAGTATCTTGTGAGCACGTAAATACAAATCAGATATAACAAATAAAAAATAGTTTGTTAATAAGAAAGAAGTGGCTAAACACATAAATATCACGAACATATATACCTGAAAAGTTAGAACTTTTAATATAGATTTTGAAGACTAGGATCAATTGCCAGCATCTCAATCTACAAATAAAGAAAAACAAGTTACAGTGAATCTTGATAATGTGGATGAATTACCTGAATATAAAGAAGTACACGTTAGTGAAAGTTATAATAATGTGGATGAATATAAAGATGTATATGGTAGTGAAAGTTATACTCAAGTTACAGTGAATCTTGATAATGTGGATAAATTACCTGAATATAAAGAAGTGCACGTTAGTGAAAGTTATACTCAAGTTACAGTGAATCTTGATAATATGGATGAATTATCTGAAAATGAAGAAGGATACGTTAATGAAAGTTATACTAAAGACAATGAAGTTTCAGATAAAATAATATTAAAGTCGGCATTACCTTTAACAACTAGGACGAGGTTGATAATATTGTTAACAATTATGCAAGACAAAACGGATTTGTAGCTACAAAGTGTCATAAAGATCTTAACCTGGTTGATAAAAATATTGTTCGTCAGCATGTTTATAAATGTTGGAAAGGTGGAAAAACTAAGTCAAAAAAAGTAGAGGATATTATTTCACATCATGATACTGCTTCAACTAAAACAACGTGTTCATGGCAAGTAGCCTTCTATAATGGAAAGTGTACAACTTCTATACATCTTACCAAAATTGAGAATACCTATAATCATCCATGTGATCCAGTAAATATAAAACTAGCTCCTAAAAATCTAAGGTTTCCACAATCAATTTTGGACAAAATTAAACATTATATAGTTAATGGTCATCTAAATGCTGGACAACAATATAACTTTCTTTTAAAAGAATTTCCTCAGCATCATATTAAAAAAAAAATTTATATAACGTGATTCAAAAGTTTAGAGGTGTTCGTATATATGATGAGTCTGATTCAGCTTCAATGCTATCATATCTTATAGAGCAGTGCAATAATGATTCTGATTATATTGTTAAACCATGGCTAGAGGGACCGTCCAATGAACTTACCAGACTTTTTTGGATGACTGATCAGCAACGAAATGAACTTTGGCCTAAGTTTTACGATGTTGTTATTCATGACAACACAGCAAAGACTAATCGATATGAAATAGCGCTTAGTTTATTTATTAGGATTGATAATAATTATAAATCAAGGATTTTAGCACAAGCTCTAATAAAATATGAACCGTTAGCTGATTATAGTTGAATATTACAATGCATACTCGAAGTCACAAATAATCACTTACCTCTTGTTTTATTTATGGATGGTGATCTAGCAATGTTGGCTGCAGTACAACTTGTTTATCCAAAGACACGTCACTTGACATGTATTTATCATATTGGTGAGAATATAAAAAAGAAGGCTAAGTCTAAGTTGCATGGTGATTCAATTAAGAGTTTCATAGAAGACTTTTATCGTATGCATAATAGTCATAGTTTAGCTCAATTTGAATTAAAGTATAATGAGATGCTTACAAAATATAAGCAATATCGGGATTATCTTGAAAAAAAGCTTTATCCGAGTCGAGATTTATGGGCAAGATATTCTATAAGAAAAATATTCACAGCTGGAGTTGAATCAACCCAACGAGTTGAATCTCTTAATGGTGTTCTTAAGAAACATCTGGATCGTGGAACTCTGTTGAAAGAGTTAGTGAAAGTAATTAAAAGTGAGTTAGATAAGGAATTATACTATAGTT